CCACACTCACCCCCTCACCCGTCCCTACTGTCACCCCCTAATCCACCTGTACCGACCGGCTGGGCCTCACCCCCTCTCACACTCGCCCCCACATCCAGCGGAGCGGACGAGGGGTTCCTCTCCGGGCAACCCCTCGCCAGGTGTCCCTCTCCGCCGCAACGGAAACACCTCCCATCGTCCGATGTGGCGAACACGGCGTAGTCAAACCCCTCGATCCTCACCTTAATCACCAGGTGGAGGGCCTGGGGTTTGGTGAGGACCATGTGGAGTTGTCTCCTGTGAGACACCACGTGCCTCATTAAAGGCGACTTGCACCCCGAGGGCAGCTTTTTAAGCGGGGACACCACCTTCCCATGTTTGACCAGCTCCTCCAGCAGCGCTCCGTCAGGGACGAACGGCGGAAAGGGGGAGGGAGAGAGAGAGAGAGGGAGGGGGAGAGAGGAGAGAGGGAGGGAGAGAGAGAGGGAGGGAGAGGGGGAGGGAGAGAGAGAGAGAGAGGGAGGGGGAGAGAGAGAGAGGGAGGGGGAGAGAGGAGAGAGGGAGGGAGAGAGAGAGGGAGGGAGAGGGGGAGGGAGAGAGAGAGAGAGAGGGAGGGGGAGAGAGGAGAGAGGGAGGGAGAGGGGGAGGGAGAGAGAGAGAGGGGGAGGGGGAGAGAGGGAGGGAGAGGGGAGGAGAGAGAGAGGGGGAGGGGGGGAGAGAGAGGGAGAGAGAGAGCTGTACGGATCTTATAGGGCAGATAATTAAAGGGACAGGACCGCGAGTCGTCCTGCTACAAATAGAACAGCAAACAGTAGATGATAAACAGTACATAGTAGCGAGTAGTAAATAGTAAATGTGTGACTGCTGTTTCTTCAGAATACTTTTTGTAGGAGAAACAACGTGAATACTTGTGTGTTATAGTACTTGTGTGACGTTGGACTCACATGTTTGTGACTTGAGGAAACTGCTTGGACATGTTTCACTGTGACAATGAAGCCGGGAGCTTCCACCAGTGACTGGAGCCAATGGATCCACCAGCTGATCACCCTCCTATTGATTCGGTATCGGCTGTCAGTACCTCGTTAATACTGAGCTCTTGTGTTTTTCAGAGTCCCTCTCACAGATCGCTGGTAAGTTCCGTGTTCTTTATTTTTTCCAACTATTCTAAAATGTTGAACTTACCGATGTTTTTGTGGTGGCGGGCGTGGTTTGGCTCGGCTGCAGAGGGGACGGAGAAGGGAGTGGCTCGGGGAACGGTGCAGGTGGAGGCAATTGGCCTCAGCTGGGCCGATTGCACTAACGTTCTGTGTTGTGCTTTTAAAATGCAGTAGCAGAGTCGACGAGGAGAGAATGAGACGCCGGGAGAGCTCGATCCTGCGCTAAGAAACCAAAATAAAAACATATTGCTCTATACCTGCTGTGTCGTGCCGACTCTGTACGATCCGCCCCGTGACAGTGCCAATTGCCTCCACCTGGCACCGTTCCCTGAGCCACTCCCTTCTCCGTCCCCTCTGCAGCCGAGCCAAACCACGCCCGCCACCACAGTTTTATATAAGTGAATATTTATGACAAACATGTGCAACCTACCCATGCTGCTCACTGTGCCCCCCCCCCAGTCTGCGGTCGGCCCCGGCTCAACACCCGGATCGTGGGGGGGCAGGAGGCCCCTGCGGGCAGCTGGCCCTGGCAGGCCAGTCTGACACGGTCTGGAAGTCACTTCTGTGGAGGGTCGCTGATCAACAGTCAATGGGTGCTGACTGCTGCTCACTGCTTCCAACCGTGAGCCCCCCCCCCCCAAACACAGCACTTTCTCCTGCTTGTGCCCCCCCTGCTCTAATGCTCCGGTTTCTCGGTCTGCAGACCCAACACCAACGGCCTACTGGTGCACCTGGGGCGCCAGAACCTGCAGGGCTCCAACCCCAACGAGGTGCAGAGGACGGTGTCGAGCATCATCAACCACCCCGGTTACAACTCCCCACCCAACGACAACGACATCACCCTCCTCCGCCTGTCCTCGCCGGTGACCTTCACCGACTTCATCCTGCCCGTCTGCCTGGCGGCGCCCGGCAGCAGTTTCTTCAGCGGCATCAACTCCTGGGTCACCGGCTGGGGCACCACGGGCTTTGGAAGTGAGTTCGGGGGGGCGGAGGTGTGCTAAACCACCACGAGGCAGCTTTGCTTTTGTCTGAAGACAGATGAAATAAACAGGTTTAAAGTGTAAAAATAAATGATTTTTGTTTTTATTGATTTAATTTGATTGAAGTTTCCACACTTGTTCGTGGTCACTGTGGATCAGCAAAGTGTTTCTCATGGACGTCTGAAGGACCAGAGGAGCCCCCTGGTGGTCACTACAGAGAATGCAGCTGTAGAGTTGGTCTCCTCGGGGATGCTGCTCAAAGAGTCCTCCCGTGGTGACTGAGCTGTATCTTCTGTCTCTAGCATCCTTTCCGCTCTCACGAAGCCTGATGGAGGTGCAGGTGCCCATCGTGGGGAACAGAGAGTGCAACTGTAACTACGGAGTGGGCCAAATCACAGACAACATGATCTGTGCCGGGCTGCGTACTGGAGGGAAGGACTCCTGTCAGGTGACCATCTCCATCCCCTTGCCTCCGCTGGCTGATTCCCTTTGACCCCCTGCAGAGGGTCTGATCCTGAATGCCTCTCTGCTCACAGGGGGACTCGGGGGGTCCGTTGACGAGCCAGCAGGCCGGCGTCTGGGTCCAGGAGGGGGTCGTCAGTTTTGGAAATGAATGCGCCTTGCCTGGATTCCCCGGAGTCTACACCAGGGTGTCCCGGTACCAGTCGTGGATCAACAGCCAGATCTCCAGCAACCAGCCGGGCTTCGTCGTCTTCACCTCCACCGGCACCGACAGCGACCTCAGCATCACCTGCCCCGGTCTGCCTCCGCCCCCGACCCCAGCGGCCCCAGGTGAGTCCAGACCTCTTTATATAAATAAAACGTATCTATTTATCAGCGTTTAACGGAGATGTTTTCATACGAGAGAGAGATAGATTCAAAATGGAGTTCAAGTAAAGGAGGTACCATCGTTAATTTGGTTTATTACAACATCTGGATGTGTACCTCTCAGATGTCCACAGTATAAAGTACAATATGTACCTAGTAGTGTATTAAAAAGTACAATAGCTGCTCCTTAGATGCAGCAGAAAATGGAAATACTGGTACTTATACAGATAAGTACAAGTACCACAAATGTATTCATAGGACTGTTCTGGTATTTGACCTCCGACCTCTGGCTGTTTCTCCAGCGGTGGTCTGCGGCAGCGCCTCCCTGAACTCCCGTCTGTCGGGTGGGGGCTCCGTGGCCTCGGCGGGGGTGTGGCCCTGGATGGCGAGCCTGCAGAAGAACGGGAGCCACGTGTGCGGCGGGACCCTGGTGGCCGAGGACGCCGTGCTGAGTGACGCCGACTGCTTCTCCAGGTGAGAGCGAGGGAGGAGGGCCGCTTAACGGGACCCAACCGGTCCTTAAACATTCATCCGTCTCGTCCCCCTGCAGACCCCCCTCTCCGTCCGAGTGGACCGTGGTGCTGGGCCGCCTGAAGCAGAACGGGTCCAACCCCTTTGAAGTGACCCTCAACGTGACCAGCATCACCATGAGCAACCTGAACGGGTCCAACGTGGCGGTTCTGAAGCTGGCCCGCCGGCCCGTCCTGTCCCCCTACATCCAGCCCATCTGCCTGGGCAACAGACTCTTCGCCGTGGGCTCCACGTGCTGGGCCGCCGGTTGGAATGCCGGGCGAGGAGGAGGTGAGTCCAGGACCACAAGGCTCCTCCCATCCTTCATCCAGATGTTTCATCTCTCACATTTCTCGCTCTCATCCTCAGAGGAACAAGTTCTGCAGGAGTTCCAGACCTCAGTGGAGAACTGTCTGAACGTGTCGGCGTTTGGAGACACCATCTGTACCGGGACCTTCGTCCTGGAGCAGGTGAGGGACCACAGGGGACACGCCCGTCCTCATGGAGATGCTCTATGAGTCCTCTTGTGAACGGCACAAACCGGCTCTCTCTTCTGACCCACAATCCTTTGCACAGCAGATATACGAGCGTGCAGACTGTGGATGAGCAGTGTGTTCTGTGTTCTGATGTTATGAAGCAAAGTAAGCAGTTGTTGAAGACGTGACTGAACTTGTGTGTGTGTTGCAGGGGGACTCTGGGGGGCCGCTGATGTGTAAGCTGGATGGCTTCTGGTTCCAGGCAGCGGTGTTAACCTCTGAAAACACCACCAGGCAGACGCGAGCCGCGCAGATGGTGTTCGCCAAGCTGAGCCGCTTCAATAACTTTCTGCTTGATACGGTGGGGTTCTTATCACCCCCCGTCGCCCCCACCAACGAGACCACGGCCTCCAGCGGGGATCACGTCGCTCACTCCCCCTCCTTCTTCCTCCTCCTCCACCTGCTGGTGTTCCCCGTTTGTCTCCACATCTTCCTGTAGGAGCCTCCTCTCTGTTAGTAGTGCGTTGACTCATCAGAATGTGACTTTACTCTGAAGGACAGCGACCTCCATCTGACCTCACAGCTCCATCACCTCCACTTCCTGTCCGCTTTAAGAACATAAAACTACTTCCTGTTATTAACAGACTCTGAAATTAGAATTAAGCTGCACTGATTAAATGTACGTGTTTTGTTATTTTTAATTCAATACCATGAAGACGTTGGTGAAATCTTTGTTACATGTGATATTTGTGCTCTGATGATTATTTTAGAACATAATGATGCAGCGTTATGCTCCAAACCCTGGGGGGTAAGAGGGGGTATTTATTGATTACATTACTACTTTACGAGATCTGAAGAACAGACGATGATCCGCCTGTCAATCATCTTCCTTGTGTTACGTGACGGGTCGGTTTCTACAGACACACGCAGTTATTCACTGAAGAGACGTCTGACCTCCATCCGACTCACAGACGTTGGTCTTTACTACGAAATTAAAAAGACGTGTAGAGAAAGTGATTGTTTTCTTTCTGGTGTGTTTTCTAGCTCCCGAGGCTCAGTGGTCAGTTCATTAGGAACACAAGACGTCAAGGAACAAACCCTCAAACACATCACTCTAAATAGCACATGTGTAAATAAGCCTTTTAAAGTACCAGGGCGCGTTTAATATCTCCACAGGGACATCGGCATCAACGTGACAAAGTACTTGGATTCAAAAGGGTTTTTTATTTACTGGATCAGACCAAACAAAAACCAACAAACATATGCTGCCTGGTCATTTAATGCATTCATTTTCCTTTAAAAGCAAGATATCACAATATATACAGTATAATCTGTAAGAAAACGCATTAAACAGATTGTGAAGAAGAGACACGCACACATTCTACTTAATGCGGATCTCAAAGCAGAGGCAGTTACAGGAGTCACACTCCGGGGGCTGACAGGAGCAGGCACAGTCACATCCGGCACACTGTGGGGGGGGGACACACATCAGGTAGGACGAAATGAATAAAATGAACCCGATGTGTCGGGGCGCTTCTTACCGAAGGAGAAGGACACGAACCGGCCCGACACGAGCGAACCGTCGGCAGGCGACAGTCAAACGTTTGTGCGAAGCTGAAGCAGCGCTCGCCGAGGGAGACTTTTGGACAGCAGTCCACGCACACTGCAGGACATCGGTCCTGTGAGGGACAAAGCAGACAGAGACACATCAGAGACCAGACCAAAATGCATCCAGCTGGAACGCCGGACCTTCTATTTGCACAAATGCGGAATTAAGAATGTTCAACAGACTAAATCAGAGGTCTCCAACAGGAGGTTCTGCAGGGGGGGTCGCAACATTTTTGGTTGTTAAGACTTTTCTTCTTCTTTTTTTCAACCATTTTTTCCCCACAAATTTAAATGTCTTCAGAATCAGACTTATATTGATTGTGTTTAAATAAACATTAACATGAATCCAATATGTTGTAGCAAACAGATACATTGATGGAGGAGACGTTGTCTTTCAGTCCCACAGCAGCTCTCATGCTGATACGACGTCACAGGCACCAGCCAATCAGATCCATTCATGCTCACGCTCAAAGATAAAAGATGGCGGACCAAACTCCGTAGAATAGGGGGTCCCTGCTCCATCTCGCCATCAGTTTGGGGGTCCTTGGCCTGAAAAAACGCTTAAGACCCCCGGTCTAAAAGTTCAACAAAAGTTGCTCAATGTTAATATTCATACCTGCAGGAGTCTGTGCCTGAACTCACACAGGTGCAGAACTAGAAGGTGACCTGCATGAGGCAGACGGTCACATCCAGAGCAAACACCTTGATTTGAATTTTCAAAGATCTGTGACAGACCCATAAATCTTGTTATTTTCTATTCACACTAAGAAGAGAAGGACCTCCGGTCCCTTCGATCCTCACTGAGCTTCTATGTTACATGAGATTAGAGTTGCGTTAAATCACTAATCATTTATTCAAAAAGGTCGAACAGGTGAAGCACAGTTTATATGTGAATTGGAGCGCTGACCTTCAGGCAGCACCGGATCCACAGTCCGACCCCGAGGACGACCATGTAGAGACCCACAGTGATCATCAGCACCGCCGGGAGCGGGATGGAAAGCTCCCAGATAGGCAACACCTGAGGAGCAGAACCGGGAGGGTCGTGAGGTCCACAGGAAGCACACATTCATTTCAATTCAATTCAGACAGAACCACCACCACATAGAACCACCATCACATAGAAGCACCACCACATAGAAGCAACATCAGACAGAACCACCACCACATAGAATCACCACCACATAGAAACCACCATAAGACATATGTACCTGCTATTACAAACCACCCATCACATATGAAGAACCATCAGACTGAAACCCCCATCCACATAACCCGGGTGGGGAGGAAAGTACACGTACACAGCGTGAAACTGAGATCTTTCTTAACGGGATTTGTCATCTACTTGAAGAGAAGCCCCCTTGGGACAACGCACCTCACGTCAGAGGAAGGAGAACAGTTTTTTTTTCCTACGGTCAAATGATCGCAATCGGAGTGATTTTTACTTTTACTGAATAATAATCCTCAGGCACAGGTTCATTTTACTTTAATTACATCGTTT